TTTTCCGGAAGCTACTACTTCCCCCCAAGAATCTTCTCAGACATGTGCTTGCCCTTCCTGTCTGTTGGCACACCCTGGTCCCTGGAACTGCCCCTCACCTGTGACTGGGCAGTACTGGGGTAGACTCCTGCTGAAGTTTGAGACCAGGAGCTGGTCTGGCATGCAAAGGAAGGAGAAAGCCCACTCCTTGTGTTTGTGATGACTTTCTTCCCTCGGGCCACCCAAGGCCCTTCATGGAAAACCTTGGTGGCAATTTTTTTTTAGGTCTAGGGAAACAGTTGTTGTTGTTGGCAAGTTTTCCTTCCCCTTAGGAACTGTCAATCTTTCCTTAATGACAGGATGGGGCCAAGGAATTGATTCCAGTTCCCTTCCTCTTGGACTCCGTGAAGATAGGAACCAAACCTGCAGTTTATCGTCAATAACTTTTTAGTGCCAGGTGACCTGCATATTCATGCATTAATTTTCCTTTATCTCTTGTTTGTAACTTTTTTTTTTGTCTTTTTGACACAGTGTCTCCCTGTAGCCCCAGCTGTCCTAGAACTCACTATGTAGACCAGGCTGGCCTTGAACTCACAGAGATCCGCCTGCCTCTGCCTCCCAAGTGCTGGGACTACAGGTGTGCACCACACCCTCTTGTTTGTAACTTTGTACTTTATTTAGCCTTGGCTGGTCATGAAAACAGTCTGCAGTCACTGCTAAAACCTGGAAAGCACAAACCAGTTTAGATGGGAAAACCAAAACCAAAAATGCAACCACTGAATGTATTGCTTGCAAACATCACCATACGTGGTTAGGGATTTTTCCTCTTCTCCCCTTTTTGTATAAGAAAACTGTAAATAGTATGTATTTATGAACGATTTATAACAGGAGAATTGAATATATGACTGTATAAATGTGTTTATGATAATTTCCACGGGAGATTATGTTTTTAAAATAGAGGGCTCTGGGAGCTGGTGAGATGGCTCAGTGGTTAAGAACACTAGTTGTTCTGGCAGAAAACCTGGGTTCAAATCCCAGCATCCACATGGCAGCTAACAGCTGTCCACAACTCCAGTTCCAGGGGATCCGACAGCCTCTTCTGTCCTCCGCGCATGGGTGCACTTACCTACATGCAGGCAATACATGCATACACATAAAATAAAAATAATAAATAAAATATTGAAAAAAATAGAAGGCTTTCTTTACAGTAGACGCAGCAGGGTTAATCTAGCTAAATTGTGGGTCTTAGCAAACAACACAGTCGCACTGAGAAACAGGAGAAAGGAAGTGACTCAGTCACACTAATACAGGGAGCTGAGATGAGACAGGAGAATGAAAGAGTGAATGGCATCTTTGGGGTTTGGGAAGGGTTGAGGGGAGATGAAGCCTAGGGCTGTAGCCACTTGAACAGTAGGAGAATTTAGTTTTCAAATCCAACCTTGAACACTGCGTTCATCGTGTAAGTAATACATTCATCCTTGAGTTCCGCATTCAGACTAGGAGAGACTCCTGACATCACATAAGCCCAAGGGGCCTCTGACCTTTTGACACGGTGACAAGATGTGGTTTACAAATGTGTAGCATTCCTAGAGATCCCAAGAGCCTTACTTAAGTGAGTGTTCTCCCAACAACGTAAAGAAGAAAAACCGCTCAAATTCCCCTGTGCGGCAGTCTCCTGATAGCACCTTAGGTTTCACTTAGGGGTACCTAACTACTCACCCAAGTAAGGCTCCCTCTCATACTGAAGTCTTTGGGGAAGGACAGTGAAATGCACATCTAATCAACAAATCTCCTGGGAACAAAACTCTTAGAAAAAGTGACGACTGGATTTGGGTTTGAAGGAGCGGGGTACTGTGGAGGCTACCAGGGTGCTGTGGGAGTTCCGGGATCTTAAGCCATCGGGTAAGTACTACATCTTTGGGGTCAGACCTGTCAGGATGAGGCAGGAGTGTCCACACAACTCTTTCCCAGGGAATGGAGGCTAGCAGTCATGACGGACACTCCTCAGGCAAGCTGGTCTTTCCCAGCGCTTCAGACGCTAGGCTTTGTGCACTGGACCCTCTCATCTCACCACATTTGGAAACCGTTACCTGTTTTCTCAGGAGTGGGGCGTGGGGAAAGTGAGGACCATTGGGAATGGATTATTCCAGTTCCTATAGTAATTCTTCTACTTTGTGGATTTCTGATGACAGCAGTGATTTTACATTTCTCCCATCAAATGGAGTGTATTGGTGTGTCTCACTGTCAGGGGTAAATTGGGGTTCTGATGCTGATTATCAGCCTTGGTATTGATGGTGTTGCCATCTTAGAACAATGCATGGGACAGATAAGGATTCCTCTTGTTCCAGAGTGGAAAATATTTGTCTAGGCTAAGCCTACTTTGGAAACCATTTTGTGTGCGTGTGTGCGTGTGTGTGTGTGTGTGTGTGTGTGTGTGTGCATGCGTGCGTGCGTGCGTGTGTGTGTGTGTGTGTGTGTGTGTGTGGCATGGCATGTAGCACTCCTGTACCACAGTGAGTATGTGGAAGTCAGAGGACAGATAACCTTAGTGATTTGACTTCCACGGTGTGACAGGGTCTCTGTTGTTGACTGCTGTGTAGGCCCGTTTATTGAGATTCCAGGGATTTTTCTGTCTCTACCTTCCATCTCACCATAGGAGCCAGAGATTACAGATATGCTTTACCTGGACCTGGGGCTGAGCTCAGATCTTCATGCTTATGTGCAAAGTGTTTTTATCCATTCCCCATTCCCTAGCCTGGAGACTTTTTTTTTTTCTTTTAAGACAATGTCTCATTGTGTAGTCCTGGCTGGTCTGGAACTCACTATGTAAACCAGGTTGGCCTTGAACTGATGTGCACTATCGGGTACAGCTTTTTTTTTGAGGACAGGAAACCCGTTTTTAATAGGGTGAGTCCTGTAAGGATAATTTTTCTTAGCTCTAATTACTTTGCTAAAAAGAACTTACTTAACTTTGACATCCTCATCAATTAGTTCCTTATTCAGAAGGCCTGTGATAAACCCCCTGCGGCTACCCGAATTTCCTCATGCCCAAAGCCTGACCAAAGGATTTTATGAAAGTTTTAAACAGGATTACATTGTCAAACTGAAGGCATAACTAAGGCTATTGTCTCATTTTTTTTATGCTTAAGGAAATGATTCTTATCTCCTTAATTCAGTCTCCTCTCTCTCTCTCTCTCTCTCTCTCTCTCTCTCTCTCTCTCTGTTAAAAGCAGGTAGTCTTAGTTTAAAAAATTTTTATTCTAGTTCACAGTTGATTTCTTTGGATATTCAGTAGTCAACCCTAACACTTTACCTCCCCATGCCCCCATCCCAGGAGAGCTGCTCTTGCAGTCAGCCTTTTGTTTCTTATTTTATTTTCAAAAACACAAAAACATACTCATTGAAAACTCTTCACAACCAATTTTCACTGTAGGCAATGGAGGAATTCCTTTTGGTAACACCTTCTAAGTCTTATAAGAATCATTTAAATGTGAGGAAACAGAAAAATGAAACAAAACTGTATCAAGGGGAGTGGGGGTGGGGGTGGGGGAGAGAGAGAGAGAGAGAGAGAGAGAGAGAGAGAATATGAACAAAGATAAATGTTTAGGAAAGGAAGTTTTTAGACCTTTGGATTAAATCAAGAGATAGCAATTGTAGATTTTTGCACTAAAGATAAGAATACCATTGTTACTCAAAATTAAGGTGTGTTTAACAGAAAGAGCAACCACATTCTTTTTGTATCTCAGGAAGTGTCTGCTGTGTGTGGAGTTTGACCAGGAAGAGACAAACCTGGTAGTGGACCAGAACATGATAACATTCAATTTGTAATGTCATATCATAGTTTATTGTCTTTGATGGACATAGATCTCAGATACCATTTATTTTTAAAACAAAGTAGGGGCACTAAATGAACCTACTCATCTTTAAAGCATATATATGGTTAGGGATGTAGCTTAGTGGTACAGCATTTGCCTAGCACGTTTGAGATCTTGGTTTCAATCTCTAGCACCACACACACACACACACACACACACACACACACACACACACACACTACAACATTTGCCTAGCACGTGTGAG